CCTTTAGTGATAAAGAGTAGAGTATGGGGGGGAGCAGGGTCTGAGGCATTCCAAGCCTGAAAGGCCTACTGATTGAGGACCTGGCCCCCAGAAGCTGGGGACATTTTCTAAGAACTGCTTTTGTCCCAAGACCTGATGGCTAGGGCTCCTCCTCAGGAGTCCAGATGATTCAGCTCCCGCAGGGGAGAAGCTGGTTCAGATGGAGACTCCGGGCACGCACAGCCTGGGTGTCCATTAGCTGCCTGTGGCCAGGCAGACAGAGGGACTGCTGGGTGATGTCCTATGCGGGCAGGTACAGATGCCCACTTCTGGGCCATTTGCAGAGGGGCTTGGCTGGGGCTGGAGAACCCAAGGGTAGGGGGGTGTTGTTGAAATCATAGACTTGTGCCTGGAGTTCTTTCTGAGGCTCTGCAAGCGGGGGGGATCTGCTGGGTGATTACCAGGGAGGACAGTGGCCCTGTGCCCTCTGTGTGCTAGGGGCCAAGCTGCAGTGCTGCTTACATTGTCCCATCCCACCTCTTCAGCACGTAATAAGACTGGTCCTGTCCTCGCTGCTGTTTGTGCGTGAGGAAGTTGAAGGTCTGTTAGGAAGGTGACCAGCCTGAAGTCATGCTGCTGGAGACCTGTGGGTCTAGCCAGCATCTGTGCTTGGAGGGCCTGGAAGGCCCTGCAATGTTGTCCTGGGTTGTGGAGCCCCTCTCCCTACTCCTCCCTGTCACAGGGGTCTTCCCGCAAGGCGGTGGGAAGATAGCCTGGCCTGCACGGCAGGACCTGCTCTCAGGGGCCCAGGCTCTTGGGGGCTTGGCCCTAGCGTCTAGTAGGGCACTCGGGCCTGCCCTGGCTGGTGCTGTCCATCAGAGGCTTGGTGTGCGACTGGTGCCAGGCAGAGTTTTCTAGGGCCCAGCTTCTGGCTGGGCAAATCGGGGCAGGTACTAGGGCAGGACTGTACCGTCCAGCCCAACCTCTGCAGGGATGGCTCTGTGCTGCCCTGGGCTAGGTCTGCATTGCAGAGTTGGGTCTTGCTTGGGAGGCCAGGGGGCCTGGCTGGTGGGGAAGGCTACTGAGTATGGTGACTATCTACTATGGACAGATCACCTGGGCTGGGTGTCTGCTGGGGCCATGGCAGCCACCTGGTGACCACCCAGAGAGCGTCCCTTGCAGGGCTGGTAAGGGTGAGCTGCACGTGGACGTTAGCTGGTCCCTCCCGCCAGACTGGCAGCACTCGGGGCATCTTGCTTGTTCACCACGTTCCGACGCAGAGCTGAGCTGCTGGGGCTGAAGGCGCAGTGACCCTGCCTCTCCCTGGAGTCCAGGGGAGGGCAGGTGCCATATTACCTGAGCCTTTGTTGGGTCTGGAGGCTCCTAGAGGCTCGGTGGGGCCTGGCCCAGGAGCTTGGGTGTCCCTGCAGCCCCCAGGCTCTAAGGAGAGGCCTGGCAGGTGGGGTACCCAGTCCACTCCAGAGCAGTGGGCTTTCAGGGCAGTGCTGGGAGGTCAGCAGTCACACATTCGGCTGCCTCTGGGTCCCCTCAGGAGGTCCCTGGACTCCATCCCAAGTCTCCCTCCCTCAGGCCCAGGGCCTGGCTGGGCCACCTGGAGACAGGAGAGACCCCGTGGGTCAGGCCCTGCCTGGGCAGTATCTCATCAAGAGGCATGTAGAACTGGAGCTGGCCACGCGGAACAGTGGGGGGTCCCCAGGCCCTGGTGGGGGTGTCTGAGTGTCCGTGTCCTGCGGGCCCTGGCACGGTTCTTGGTGTCCTGCCTGGCTTCCTCACTGGGACTTCACCAGGCAGCAGGTACTACTTCCTTCCCTGCCTTATAGAAGCTGTAGTTGTAGCCCTTGCTTTGCCTCTGTCCCTTGGCCAGGGCTCTGAGAGGAGGTATGACCGGGGCTCTTGTTCTGTACCTCCCACGGGGCGGCAACAGGCTCTGGTGTCCATGTCCCTTCCCCTCCGAGTCTCTGGCTTCTCCACTGACCTTCAGGGTGGGACGGGATAGGCTGCTTTCCTCCCTGACCGCTCTCAGAACCAGCCTCACTCCCCCACCTTAGCCAGCCTGTGTGTCCAGACCTGGCGCTGGTTGGCCCCTCCTCTATGCTCTTCCTCCAAGCCTGAGCCAGCCAGCTCACCTTCCTCCTCTTGTACGTTTTCAGTTTTGAACTGACTTAGAAATTGAGATTTGAGTGCAGCTAGACTGTGGCATTTGTGCAGATGTGGCTTCTGTGAATGAAGCCTTTGTCCCCAGCCCCGAATTCCCACTATCGGTCTTCAGCACACAGGTCACATCCCTCACTAGACCCCAGGCACAGCCCATGGGTGCTGAGAGCTCACTCAGCCTCCTCCAGCCCTCAGCTCAGGGTGCGCGGACCCCTGAGGCAATGGGATGGAAGCTGGTGTATTCAAGGCCCCCATCATGTACGGGCTTGGCCAGGCAGTGGCCCGGTGAGTCTCTCTGCCACCCTGTATCCCACTCAGAAGGGTCCTGGGCCCCGAGGAAGTCTGTAGCCCAGTGGCTTTCTGGAGGTTTGCATGGCCGGTGGGGCCTGTGGAAGCATGGCCTGCCTGCTCACCAGTCTCCCAGTGGAGATCCAGTGCCCTCAGTGGGTTCCTGCACATCCCTCCCAGGACTCCCTGGGCTCTGTGAGACCCCTGTGCCTGCCCCTCTTCACCAGCCCCTGGGGTGGACCTGGGGGAACTGTCTACCCCAGAGGACACTTGGCTCAAGCCTTTGCTCTTGCACCTCTTGTTCCCATGGGGGGCTCTCCTCCCCCAACCCTGTCAGCCCCTGCGGGGCCAGGCCCACTGCCCCTGGATGTCTCCCAACAGCACCAGGTAGGTGCTCAGGGGGTGTGTGTGGACAGTGAGACACCCTGGGTAGCTAAGCTGGCAGCCTGTTATCCCCACGGGCCAGGACCCCCAGCCAGAGTGTACGGGCAGCAACACCCCCTGCCTGCAGCCCCCATCCCCACCTCCCACAGGCAGGCCCTGCCCACGTGCCCTCGTCCTGGGTTTCCCCACCTGCCACGACAGGGAACCAGCCTCACTGGGTAGGTGCAGCTGGCTTCTCACCTGTGCTGGCCGGGGAGGCCGATATGGAGGGGTCAGGCTGGGGGTTGACCTGAGCCAGGGAGGGGGTGTAGGAAGAGTCTGCTGCCCACTCAGCTGTGTGCTGAGGGCCACTGCCATGCCTGGCTGAGTGCCCCCATTCCTGTAGATGTCTCCGTCAGGCTCTGTGGGGGACTCCTGGCCCCAGGATGGGAAAAGGCCAGGCCCCCAGCCCCAGTGTGCTTAAAGCAGTCTCCGCCAGTGGGCCTGCCTTTATGAAGGGCTGTAACCTCTGCAAGCCGACAAGGGCCACCCTCAAGACACCCCTTCCACCGGGGCCCCACTGGCTGAGCCTGCAGCACTCCAGGAGAGAGGCCTGGCTCTCCTGTCAAACACCTGCGCACCTGGGGCCCTTCATGCAGTTGGAGCCCTGGGCCGGCCAGCGGAGGGTGGGGAGGAGGGGGCGCGTGCGGCTGTGCAAGTCCCGCAGGTCTGTGAGCTTCATCTCCCTTTCCTTCTTCGCAGTGTACTAACGGTCACTTGATGTGCGCTGGCTGTTTTATCCACCTACTAGCAGATGCCCGGCTGAAGGAGGAGCAGGCCACGTGCCCCAACTGTCGTTGCGAGATCAGCAAGAGCCTCTGCTGCCGCAACCTGGCCGTGGAGAAGGCTGTGAGTGAGCTGCCCTCCGAGTGTGGCTTCTGCCTGTGCCAGTTCCCCCGCTCCCTCCTGGAGAGGCACCAGAAAGAGGAGTGCCAGGACAGGTAACTGGCAGGTCCTTCCATGCCCGCAGCCTGGCGACAACCTTGCAGGACTGGCCACGTGAAGCTGCTCAGAGCCTGGGCCGATGGGGGTGGTGGGCACAAGGCCCCCCAGAACAGCACTGGGATCTGTAGCTAGTGTGTGTCTGGACATTACCCTGGCCCTCCAGGGTTCTTCCTGGCAGTGTGGTGGCCTCTTAGACACTGTCCTTGCATTCTTGGGCCAGGAGAGCATGGGTGGCACAGGCGCTCTGGGAGCGAGTTGTGAGGCCGCACTGGCACCCCTGCCTGGCTGGTGGACACTGCTGCCTGCCGGCAGGGCCCAGCTGCCAAGCCACACGTGGACCAGAGCAGTGTGGGCCCCACCATGGTCAGTGGCAGCTGTCGCCAAGCAGGAGAGAGACTTCACGATGCAGCTCCCACACGCTCCTTCTCAGTCTCTGCCCCACGTGCTCTGAGCCCTTCCCGGGGTGGCACACAGGGACTGTGCCCTTCAGGGGAGGTTTGTGAGAGCAGGGCTGGGTGGAGGCCCCCCCTTTGGAGGACCCCTGGGCGCAGCCACCTACCATGGGGCGCAGGCGTGACCACCGTGCTTGCCTCCTCCCCAGGGTCACCCAGTGCAAGTACAAGCGCATCGGCTGCCCATGGCATGGCCCTTTCCACGAGCTGACGGTGCATGAGGCCGCGTGCGCCCACCCAACCAAGACGGGCAACGAGCTGATGGAGATCCTGGACGAGATGGACCAGAGCCACCGCAGGGAGATGCAGCTGTACAACAGCATCTTCAGCCTGCTCAGCTTTGAGAAGATCGGCTACACAGGTGAGGGCCGCCGCCCACTGCAAACCACACAGGTCGGGGTGGGGCCCGGCCGCCAGGGGCATGGGGGAGAGCAGGCTCCGGGCAGTGGGCACAGTTGTACCAGGTGGACAGGCTCCGCTGCAGGGGAGAAGGTGGGCTGGAGGCTGGGCAGGGAAGGGGCCACCAGGACCCTTGGGGGCAGCTGCATGGCTCTCACAGAGGCCCCTCCCCATGTCCTCCCAACCCCAGCCCTGCCACCCCAGCAAGGCGGTGTCCTTATTGCGTGGGGCAGCACAGCCTTGGGACGGTCAGGGTCTGACCAGGAAGTGAGTGTGTCTTGTGGGGTCTGGGAGCTGGGGGCCCGCCCCTTGGAGCCAGGGGCAAGAAGAGTACTTGACGTCGCGTCCTGCCTACAGGCGGTTACTGCAGTGGCCGTGGGCCTCCTGAGGCCAGCGAGAAGACAGTCAGGGCCAGGGCTCCAGAACGAGCCGAGGGTCCCCAAGTCGAGCTGCAGAGCTGGGCGTGGACGCCCTGGGATGGGCAGGCTGGACTGCACCCAGGCCCACTGGATCTCTTGGGCTCTCCTGGCCACCACCACTGCCTTTGGACACGCTGGGGAGCAGGAGTCAGGCCAGAAGCTGGTCTAGACACAGAGAACAGCAAGAAGCACCTGCTGTCGCTGGAGCTGCTGGGGGTATTCTGGTCCTCTCCTGCCCAGCCCACGCCAGGCGGCCGGCTCAGAGCATCAAGGGCAGCCACAGGCAGCAGTCACACCATGCTGCCTGGACTGGGCCTGGCGAGGTGTAGGCCTGTGTAGGCCCCACAGGCTGAGGGCCTGGGGCCTCAGCAGCAAAAGGCCACGGCCCCTGATTAGTCGTAGCCTCAGCCATCCTGGTGGGCAGCGTATCACAGACAGTCCAGGCCAGGCCTCGAGGGTCCGGGCAGGCCGAGGCATCGTGACTGCAATGGCAGCCGGGCAGAAACAACTGGCCATCTCCGTGGAGTGACTCGCAGGCCATGGGCCGTGCTGAGAGGACAGTGTGACAGCAGTCGCCCACTGACGGGCGGGCCTGCGGCCGGCTGGCAGAGCCCAGCATTGGGCCAGACACTGGCACTCCGCCTCACAGCCCAGCGCAGGCTTGGGTGCCACGCGCCAGCCCTCCTGCCGGCTTTTCTGGCAGCTCTGTATCAGAACCAATAAAGTGCACTTGTTCTCAGAACTGCATCCTGTCTGTGTGTCTGCTTACCCACGCCCCTGGGGCGGGGCCTCTCCCTCTGCTGGGCCTTGAGGGGTGGCAAGGAGGGACGCCAGTAGGGGCCCGGCAGGGCCAGCCGCTCACCTCTTGCAGCCTCTGGACTCCATGCAGCTAATGCGTGTCACTTCTGTTTATAGTCGTTTCCCCCAAGCTTGTGTGCGCCTCCGTTTGCCATAATCGCGTTTGACTTGCCTTGTGCCAAGTAGAGCGCATGGTGTCCTGGTAAGTTGCCTTCCTCCCTGGCTGAGCCTGTGTTCTCAGCTGGTCGGGAAGGCGCCACCACCCGGCCCTGCCCGCTCTGACTGCCGGCCCTCCCGGCCTGTCTGTCTCCACAGAGGTCCAGTTCCGGCCCTACCGCACGGATGACTTCATCACGCGCCTGTACTACGAGACGCCGCGGTTCACGGTGCTGAACCAGACGTGGGTCCTGAAGGCACGTGTGAACGACTCGGAGCGCAACCCCAACCTGTCCTGCAAGCGCACGCTCTCCTTCCAGCTGCTCCTCAAGAGCAAGGCCACGGCGCCGCTGGAGTGCTCCTTCCTGCTGCTCAAGGGCCCATATGACGATGTGAAGATCAGCCCCGTCATCTACCACTTCGTCTTCACCAACGAGAGCAACGAGACGGACTACGTGCCGCTGCCCATCGTCGACTCCGTGGAGTGCAACAAGCTGCTGGCCGCCAAGAACATCAACCTGCGGCTCTTCCTGTTCCAGATACAGAAGTAGGCAGCCCGCGGTGCTGCCCACACCGCCGGTGGCAGCTTCGCAGTGCAGGCGACCACTGCAGCGACGAGTGAGAAGGAACAGAAGGGAACCTTGGGACGTCTGCATGCGTGTGTGAAGGTGTGAGCGCTCATGCCTCGCCCTCCGCCCCACCTCCCCTGTCCCGGGCACTGGAGGCTGGGCCACCGCAGAGGAGACACTGCTGGGGACCCGAGAGGCCCAGTGCGGCACAGCGGCCCTGCCTCAGACCCCATGTGCAGTGCAGTGGGCCACACACCTGCTCTGGGCCACACACGGCTCCTGGGCCGGGCTCGGGGGCACTGACCTCAGACGGCATATTTGATTGCAATTAAAAAGGCACCCTTGTTTCCTACTTTCTGTTTTGTTCGAGGGAAAGGCGTGGCTGTAATCAGACAGCATGGGGGCTTTGGTTTGGCTGGGAGTCAGAGCCTATCCATCCCTGTTACTGCACCTTCCTGTCCCGCACCCTCAGGAGAGACTTGGAGACCCTGCCCCCTCTGATGGGCCTGGGCAGGGGAGCAGGCGGGGTCAGGGGTCTCAGCAACGCCAGCATACCGCCAGGGAGGCAGGGCTCGGCCACCAGGGCTCAGCAGACTTTTCGGAATGCAGGGTGATTTTTCTGTCTCTTCCCAGGAAAAAAATTAAACTCTTTACAGGCTCTTTTATAAGTTATGCACATTTAGCAAGAGAGAATCTATCTTCTGTAGTCTCATGGGTGCAGTGTCCATAGGATGTGAGGCAAGTTCTGGGGTCTGCTGGCAGTGAGCAAGGCCTGGCTGAGCCAGGGTCTGAGTGGTCCAGCTGCCCCCGGGCTGCTCTCGGCAACCAGCTGCTGGTCCTGCGTCCAGGGCTCTGTGTGGAGGACAGCGCTCATCAGTAGTTTCTCACCTGAGGGAGGTGGGCTCCTAGGGCAGTCATGAGCAGGCCCAGTGGGGTCCTCACACAGGGAAGGAGCCCGGCCCTGGGAGCTACTAGGGAAGGGAGAGCTTGGGCCCTTGCTTAGGAGACCAGGCTCTCCTGTGAGAGCTTTTTGTACTGTGAGAGCAGTACCAAAGAACTGCTTCCTTCACTCCTGGCCAGGCCACCCCATGTTCAGAGCAGCCACCCCACCCCCATCACCTGGGGCCTGCAGACTCAATGGGCAGGGTGGCCCTGGCCTGTCTCATGGCTCCTCCCTCTCCAGGCCCTGGAGGTGGGAGCTTCAAAGTTGTGTGAGGGAGCTGTGGGGAGTGGGAGCCTCACCTTGGTTACTCGGAGAAGCCTGTATGGCTTCCTGTTCCCCACCCAGGGCATAGGACTCGGGGGCTCCCCTCCCGCAAGGCCGACTCAGCCCAGCCACTGTGGGGACCAGGAAGTGCAGCGCTTGATTCCCTGCCCCTACGAAGAAAGAGCCCAGCCTTGGGGCGAAGCGCTCTGACTTGGGCACACCCTGGTCTTGTTCCCCTGCCCTCAGGCGGCCTGCCATCTGCAGGCACAGAGGATGACGTTCAGGTGAACACTGGCTGGGTCTCCTGTGGGGGCTGGCGCCCTGTCACACATCTCCATGTCTGTTGGGGATGGATGCCCTCTCTGTGGAGTTCCTGGATTCCAGAGCGACTGTATTCTGAGGGAAGCCGGGGCAGAGGTAGGCTTGCTAGTCTGCGCGCGTTTGAGCAAGCCTGAAAGAGATGGAGTCAGCAGAGGGGCTCCCAGCAGTGCTGGTGGGCTGGGCAGGTTAAGGTATGTGGCTGCAGAGAGGGCCAGGCAGGGGTAGGGAGGAACCTGGTCTGCAGGCCTCCTTGGCCCTGCCTCAGTCCTGGGCCAGCAGCCCTGAGTGCGGGGCGGGGGGGCCTGGGGCTTGGTGCTGCAGCACCAGGGTCAGCCACAGGCTGGGGCCCCGCAGTCCAGTGCCTCCAGCTGCCCAAGAGCCTGTGTGAGAGGGGGCTGGTGCCCAGTTGAGGCCCTACCCGTAGGGGTGTAGGTGTGGGTCACGGGGCAGAGGGCGCCTGAGAAGACCGCTGATAAGCCTGGCAGAGCCCCCACCTGTGACAGCGACCTCAGCTGCTGAGCCTTGTGACCTGGTGGAACCAGGCGCCCTGGGCGCTGTAATATACCTTGGCCACTGCTGGGGGCTGGTGCCATAAACCTCCCTGTGGCATCTCACTGGGAGTCACTAGCTTACTGGGGAATGTCCCAATAAGGAGACACCAGTGGTCTGTCTCCAGGGCCCCATGCCATCTGGGCAGCCTGACCGAGGGGTTGGGGAGCAAGCATGGCAGATGTGAGGGAGGCCTGGGGGCACAGGTCAAGCCAGCCCCTTCCCCCTCTCCCCCTCACTTCCAGGTAAGCACTACATCTCTCTCAGTTCACCCAAAGTGAGACATTTACAAAAATAATAAAAATAACTTTTTAAAGAGTGGAGTGAAGAGGTGTTTTTACTGCTGTCATAACTGACTTAACACGTTGCTTTTGTGGTCTGTATTCTCTTTGGATATTTTCTTTTTGTTTGTAACTACAGTTTTAAGAAAGTTCCAAACCACTTCTTGTTTGTGTTTCCTTACAAGAAGACAGCCTCCCTTTGGATGGCTTCCCTGGGCTCTGACAGCCTCCCTACTCGGGGTCAGCTGCTGCCCCTGCGAGGCCCCACTCTGTGGCCTCCCTACCTGGGCTTCCAAATCTCGCTCCCTGTCTGACCAGAGAGGAAACTGAGGCATGGAGAAGTTGGGTCCTCTCCGAAGGAGAATCAGGCCCCAGGACCTGGGCTGTCCTGTGAGTGCTGGTGCTGAAGGGGTGCCTGCTCAGTCCCCAGGAGCCCTGGTGGGGGGGGGGTGGCCTCCACCTGCAGCCCATTCAGCTGAGACAGTCTCTGCTCCCCCATCCCCACCCACCTCCACCCTCAGCCTCATTATGCCCCTCGCACCTCATCAGCCTGCCCACCAGGCCTTGGTTTCAGGGCCTCCCTGTCCTGCCCCTGGGTCCCCGGGACAGAAGAGCACCACACCCTTCAAGAGGCAAAGAGGAGCACCAGACACCTGCAGTCATCTTCGCACCTCCTGCAGCTCCTCAAGCTTGGCCTTCCTCCCCCACCCCCAACCCTTTCGGCCATACACTGGCCCTGGGCAGCCTTCCCCAGACCTGGGGATCACTGGCCCTCCCCGTTACTCCCTCCAGAACAGGCCTTGCTACACATCCACTGGATGAGAGTTTTACCCCATTGGGTCTGTTTCCATTTCCACAGAGAATAAAACTGCCCATCTCCCACTCCTTTTGAACCTCCTCTGGGGCCTCTGGGGCGTCGGCACTGACACCTGGGGCCCAGGGCCTGGCAACAGGGCAGGGGCAGGGCCCCAAAGCCCCGCAGGTGCTTGATTCTCTAGGTGCAGGGGCAGGACAGGCATTTAGAGGTCAGGGGCCTGGTGCACCACCTCCCCAGGGCTCTACACCTCTCCGAGCTCCTGGACTGAGAAGTCCGGGTCACATCGCTGGGGGCCCAGAGCCCACTGTCTTCAAGCTCTCAGCACAAAGCAGTTCTGCAGTTCTAACGCGCGGACGCCGACTTTTCCAAGAACACAACAGCACTTGCTATGGTCATTTTGGAAGACGCAGCCCTTTTTCTCCTGACAGCCCTGGGGGCTGGAGTCCCCACGTGTGACGACCGTGGCCCGCTCCCTGCTGTTCCGCAGGTTCTGGGATGGAGGCGCCTGTGACTATGCCCACTAATCCAAATGCGTGTGTGTGTGCGCGCGCGCGCGCGTGTGTCTGTGTGTGGCGGCGGCAGCTGCGGGGCCGCCCACGAGGGCTTGCATGGTTGAGGAGGGGTGCTGGGACCCCTAGGCCACCCCCGGACCCCGGGAGTCGCCCGCCCTCTCGAAGCCGTTTCCCGCCCCGGCATCAGCCCTACTACAACTCCCGGGATGCTTCGAGCGTCAGGACTACACTTCCCGGGATGCTCCGCGGCGCGCGGGCAGGACTGGGCCTGCGCTCGGGTCCTAGGGGCGGGGCCGCGGCGGCGGAGCGAAGGCGCGGGAAGTCCGGAATCCTGCGCGGGAAGTCCGGAATCCTGCGCGCGGCAGCCAGAATATGAGCCTGGACCGCGAGCTTCGCCGTGAGTCTCGGACCGAGAGCCTGAGCTTGGGGGTCGGGAGAGGGCCTGGCCCTCCTGGGCGGGGAGGCTCAGCATCCCGGCCTCACCCCTTTTTGTGCAGAGCTGAGCAAGGCCAAGGCCAAGGCCCAGAGGAGC